AAACGAGTTCACGGATTAAGCATTTCTGACTTTCAATACATTTTACTTTCCCTTTCGCTTGTAATGCCTAAGCTACCAACGCTGAACTCGTATTTAAGTCCCATCGCTGATTCCGCTGGCGGATCCAGGGGATCATTAAAGGGACCCTCCCACCTTCAAAAAAGTTTATGAATTGACATGAAAGTGATGTCGCTCGGTTCAGAAAGAGCGAAAACGAATATCTACCAAATTTCACCGAAAATATTCACCGGTTTTCAAGATATTAGATTTTTACTTTTGTTTACTTTTTGGGATCTCCGCTGTTCCTAGCGACTTTATTTGGAAGCAATAGTTTGGCAGCTGAAAGTGCGGCACTTGTTGCGCGCAAAGCAGCATATACCACCGCGTGCTATAAAACGTTTTAGTCAAATATTTAAAAATCGTTAGATATCTGCGCTGACGTCACACATTCAGAGGGGTATTCCTATGCATTAGCCCCTCTGAATCAAAATGCTGCAATTTTGAAATTCAATATTTCCGATTTAACCCGCGCCCCAGTGGCGGTCTCAGCCAACTTCGCCCTAGTGGGGGGGGGGGGGGGGGGGCATATGTTACCACCCACCTCTAACTCAAAAACTAAGAGGGCTAGAAAGACGCGGTAAAAAGCAGTCGATAGCTCTCAATGCGTACGTTTGAAAGTATTTCGGTCATTTTTCACCCTAGAGCAATATTGGGGTCACCAGAGGTCATCAAAGGTCAAAATTTGCCAATTGTCATTATATTTTTCAGAAAACATGCCGCTATCTCAGGAACTATGGTAGCTAGAAAAACGCATGGAAGTACAAACGATAGCTTTTGAACTCTTCTTTTGAAAAGGTCATTATCAATATTGACCTCAGGTCAACGGTTTAGCCTCCAGAGGGCAAAAACTAAAAAAAAACTGTTTTAACGAAAAGTATTTTTCGACAATAACTTTCGACTACAAAATGCCACGACATTTCTATTGCCAGAATCGTGTTCCCCTCGCCGAGACGCGTCGAATGAACTATAATTTGACCTTGAAAGGTCAACTTGAAAATTTGACCTCAGGTCAAGGTCATGACCTTACCGGAAAAGGTCATGTTGCATATCAGTCGATGCGTCTCAACAAGACAAACACAATGAGACCATCCCCAGCGTTCTATCTCTTTCCAATGGCGAGTTATTGGCAAAAAACTGTTTGTAGCCTCAAGTGACCTCGGATGACCTGTCTAGAGGCTATCAGCAAAAATGACACCTTGGTCATCACGAGTGGACTAAATCATTGTGATTCTGAAATATTTGGACTGTTCCGATGCGTACACACGGATCTAGAGGCATTTTCATTTTTCTCCATTGACTTGTAATGGAAAGGTCACGCCACTGACCTGACCTTAGGTCACGGATATAAAAAATCCGAGATATACAAATTGTAGGCGCCCATAACAGCATGCAATCCACTAAGTTTCAAACCTTTCTGACAAACACTGCAGGCTGGACATGATTGCAAACTTTTTTTTAGGCTTGGTCAGTTAACTTGACCTGGTGACCTGACCTGACATGACCTAGGGTCAAAAATTTCACACATTGTCCAAAATTGATGTACCAAAAGCTACCCCAAGCGGCGCGGCGCTACGCGCCGCGGTTTTTTATTCACACGCAAAAAACGCGACAGGGTGGTAACATATGCCCCCCCCCCCCCACTGGGGCGAAGGTTAAGGCATTTCTCGATGTTGTGAGTGCCGAAACCGGTAATTGTGAGCCAGGGACCCCATTTTGGCTATCTCAACTCAAATCTAATGTTAAGGTGGGAGGGTCCCTTTAAGGGCAAATGCTCCTCCCCACCCCCACCCCCACCCCCACTTAGCGCCCGAAGTTGACAATTTACGGTTTTTCGAGAATGAAACGAAAAAAAAAAACTTTTATTAGGAAAAGCTTGTTCCAAACTGCAGAACAGTGCGTAAGAAATCGAAATCTGAGGAGAAATCTGATTTTGAATTTGGAGCAGCTTTCGGGGTTGGCTTCCCACCCGAGCGTCCAAAGGCCCCTTTCTTGATCCGCTAGTGGCTGATTCAGCGATAGGATTTTATATATTCCGATTTTTCGAGCGCCGCTCTCGATCCGACCGCTCAACATTTCCCCTTTTTTTGTTCACTTATGCTACACACCACATTTTTACAGCGTTTGAGCGGTGGCTGACTGGTGGTATCGACCAATTGCCATTTCCTCGATCAGATATGAATCATTTATCAGTCTGGCTGGACCCCGGATCTACTAACAACTCACCGCGGCACGGAAAATAGCGTAGGGCATGGGCTCCCTGTTAGCGACGGGGTAGCTGCGGTGGGCACGCGACCTGTCTATTTAATGTCTGTGAATTATACGGTGTCTGTCATAGGCGTCTCACGGCATAACTACAACGGTGGAGCAGCTTACCGCGAAGAGATCTCCATATGCTTTTGGTTGTTGACTTTCGTCCGAATGTTTCGAATGCTCAATTGCTCAACATTCAATGAGTTTGGTCCATGTATGAAGTACGGTCCCGGTCCATGTATGTCCATTACTGTATGAAGTCACTTTCTCATCCTTGCCAAAATACCTGATGCAGTGCACCGGTGCTGAAAACCCTCCGATAGGGACTTTCAAAATAGTGCCGGACTTTTAACCCGCGCGGGGCTGGGAGGGGGTAAATTTTACCCCCCCTCGCGAATGTTTGCAATATCTCAAAAACGGCGGCGCGTAGCGCCGCCAAACTTTCAGTACCTTTTCTTACATCAATTTGGCACGTTCCCTGAAAATTTGAGCGAAATCGGTCGGAAAATATTTGAGAAAATGACGTTTTAGTGACGTCATGTTCGCCATTTTCGCCTCAAAAACGGCAAAATTTCAAACGCCGCTAACATCTTCATTTTTTAAGCAATCAAGACATAACAAAAAAGGTTATATGTGATTCTACTTTGTCTATCAAATGGCTATCTCGGTTTTTTGAAAATTTTGGATTTTGACACAATTTTTTTTCAAAAACTGACTTTTTTGGAAAAATTACTATAAATCCAAAATTTTGAGTGCATCGAAAAAACCGGAATATATATCAGAGAAGTGGTCTATGTGCACTTACATACCAATTTTTAGAAAAATCGGTTCAAAAATGTGGGAGTTATTCAAAATTTTATGACGTCACGACATACAAAAATTTTGAAAAATGATTTTTTTTTGGAAGTTCTAGACCTCGTACGGAAACAAAAATAGCACCATTCGATTTGCCGTGAAAAACTGCATCAGATAGACACCTTTTTAGGCCTTAACAACCAACTTCAAAATTTGACCTCACTTGACCTGACCTTGACCTGACCTCGACCTGAAGCTCATCCAGATGTGGTCTATAACACTTATTGAGTGTGCCTATTGAATTCTATGTATAAAATGACCCATAAAACATGTGTCGCACATGCCCTTTTCTATATTTTGTTTTTGGTGACCTGACCTGACCTGACCTGACCTTGACCTTGACCTCTGAATGATATTGTATGCAACGAATATTGTCTTGGTAGCCTAACAACACGTTTTGGGCAATCAGTCTCAGTCCATGACTCCATTCTTCGGCAACTACGGTGCAAGGCCGATACTGTAGAAACTTGCAACTTGTACCCTTGACCTAACCTTGACCTTGACCTCAAACTTTAAATTAAGTACATGTTTTTAGTTGTTCGTGATGAAATCTTTCGATTGGCGTTTGAATTTTCCAAATCGGACCATTAGTTCGGGAGATAACAGGGGGGGGGGGGGGTAAAATTTACCCCCCCCCCCAGCCCCGCGCGTTCGGCTGGAGACCCCAGCCCCGCGCGGGTTAAAACACTCAATCAACGACCCTCTCGTCTCGTCTCCTGTGAATCGCCGGTGACGGGCTACGATTCTCCCCTTAATCTCATGGGGATCTGTGTAACCTAAACTCGTACATGACCAGCTTCCCTCCCCTACTGTCAGTATGCCTGACTGGGTGAGTGGTCAGTCGGGTCCATAGCGAAAGGTAGCAGGCGGTCCAGGCCCCTGTTAGGAAGTTGAAGAAGATTGTATCCGGTTAAAGGTGTCGAGATTGAGGTCCCACAGCCATAAAAGCCGGCAGAATGCCCTTATTATTCAATTTTCTTTGGTTCATGGCTGTTTGCTTTCAGACGATACGGCTGGATGGAAATTAAACGACTGGTCCGCACGAATGAATGTTTTCATAGGCTTGGAATCACATGTTGCGACACTCAAGAACAACATTGACTGCTTTGGGGAAACGTTGGAAGAAATGTTAGTGCAGAAGAAGAAAAAAAATTAACGAGAGCTGAATCGTTCGGTTCCATTCCTGCATCTGCCGCGTTTCTGTCGGATGACGTGCCCCTGTCTCTATGCAGCGCGTGTAAATTCGGCGTGCTGTCTGGGTCGTCTGGCCAGGTCACCTCCGCCTGGTGCCAGCCGGCCGGCCGTTCTAAGCGACTCATGGGCAGCCAGGTTTAGTGACCGAGGTTATATATAACCAGAGATGCAACGCTACCTAATCTGAACTCCCTTGCCCAATGCCCACGCTCTGCAGTGTCGTTGCCCCTGGATGAGTGTGGGAGGGTGGTGGGTGGTGTCAGGGGTCGACACTAGCGCTGCCTGGCGGTGATGGTCAGAAACGATAGGGAGTCCGACTGTCGCTGGGGTGGACGGGCGCTGATCCTTTATCGCAGTCCCACTTATATTTTTCTATGTGATATGATGTGGATGACCGTCACCTTCCGCTTAGGATGTGATATCTGGCCTTCAGTAGCTCTGAACTTTTCCCCTCAATTATCAAACTGTCCTTTCTTCCTTTGAATTCAGTAGTAAGTAGCCCCTACGATATACGTTGACCCTAATGAACCGAAGCTTTCATCCAAGATGAAAATAAGATATCCTTGGTCCACCATTCCCCCCAGTGCCCTGTGACTGATTTTTACTGAGTACTACTAACATTCTCCTCTGTCCGTCCCCAGGTGAACCAGCCCATCTGATGGTAGCCGCCGACTCAGAGTTGCGCCGACTGGACCCTTACAAACGTCTATCAGCCGAGGCGGGGCCGCACGTGACCGGTGCCGCGCTACCCACCGACCGCATCCAGTCAGTGGACGTCTACTACTCGGAGGAGACGCCGGTGATATTTTGGACCAACGATGAGCGGCATACAGTCACCCGGTACACGCCGCCGGTGCACGCGCGCGCCAAACGACAGACCACCGAAACTGTGGTGAGTAGTGAGTAGAATGACCGATAGCTGTCGGCAGTGGTACTGATGGTTGTGGAGGCGGTTTTAGCCAATACTGCCTTTGAAAGGTCGTAAAATAGCGTTTGAGGCTGGAATGGCCGTTGGAATTTGTGTGGTCTTTAGCTTTTTAAAGTTATTCGCACAAATATACCGTTCGTTTGTAAGTCAGTTTTCTTCATAAAGTGACATAGAATATAACAACAACACCACCTTTATCGGCTGGTATGTTCCTCAACTGTGATGTTGAGGAGCATATCGCCTCGCATACTCCATAGAACGCTCCCCTCTCTCCATCTCTCTCACCACTCCTCCCTCTCCCCAATGGGCGCAAAATGACCTTAGCAGTCGGTGCGCCCTAAAGCCCCAATTAACTAACAAACAAACCCCTCTGCCCAGCTGCGTGACCTGGTGCGGCCGCTGGGTCTGGCCGTCGACTGGATCTCACGCCACCTGTACGTGGTGGACGCCGGCGCGCCGCGCATCCTGCTGGCTTCGTTCGACGGCCGTCAGGTGGCCACGGTGGTGAAGGCCGGCCTGCAGGAGCCGTGTGACGTGGCCGTGGAGCCGGCCATTCGGTGAGTGGGAAAGGGGGTGGTCAGGGAACTCGGTGGATGGAACATTGCACGAAGGGATTGGTGTGGTCAGTTTAAGAACAAGAAGTTTGCCATTTAAAGGAGGGGTGTTGTGTGGACTGTCCTGACGCTCTCATGTGCCGTCGCCAATCGGTATTGCTGGACAATGTTCACATCATCAGCTGTCCTAACCTCTCCCCTCTTCTCCTCACGCAGTCTCTAGCCAGTATTACTGGACAGCATTTCTGCCCTCACTTCCCCTGACTTTTCCTGACCATCTTCGGCGCGTTACCAGCCGGTTGTACTGAAAATATGTTCGACCCTAACCCCTACTCACCTAGCTCGACCCCGGCCTCCACTGACCTCCCCTGACCCTCCCCCTCTCGCTCCCCAGCCGTTTCTACTGGACGGACCGCGGTGTGGACGCAGCCATAGAGACGGCGGCACTGGACGGCTCTGACCGGCGCCGACTGGTCAGCTCCCGACTCCGCTGGCCCTGCGGTGTCACCGTCGACCACGCGGCCGGCCGCCTCTACTGGAGCGACCCCAAACTGGCCACCGTCGAGACCGTCAGACTGGACGGGTCTGACCGGGCCATCGTGCGACAGTTTGACAAACGTGAGTGAACGGGAAGGATGGAACTGGTTCACTGGGGCAATAGCGTAGTTATTCGAACTGGTCCAAATCGACTTCTATCGATTTGGACCAGTTTCTTTTTTGTCACTTCTATCGGATTGATCCCTGTCCAGTGTCCACGTTTGACCTCCACGACATCCATAGCCTCTGACCACCCTGCTCCTTGATCTCCCCAACTTGGCCTTCCTTAACTCTGACCTCCCTGAACGCTGGCCTGACCTCCCTAACCTCTGACCTATAACCTCTCTGGCCTTCCGATCTCTGACCTCCCTGACCTATGACCTCCCTGACCTCTGTTCTCCACCGGCAGACGAGGGTCGTCCGTACATGCTGGACGTGTTCGAGGACCTCCTCTACTTTACCACGTTCCCGCTGCCGGGCGTCGGACGGATTAACAAGTTCGGCCAGGGGAACGTCACGCGCCTGGCCGAGGGAATCCGTGCCGCCTCCGACCTGGTCATCATACAGGCCAGCAAACAGAGCCGAAATGGTGAGTGGGCGGGCTGAAAGGATGTCCTCACTGTTTTGGGGTGGGGATAAAGCGGTTCAGGGAAGGAGGGGTTGCCTGTTCACCTAACGCCGTCTAACGTCGTCCTCGGTGCCGTTTATGTACTGAATCTTAAGGCCTTTTAACGCTATTTTTCACAAACATGCATGCATTTTTCAACGCAACTATCCCAATGAGACATAGTGAGACATAGGTGGCAGCTTTAAACCAGCTTCTTTTTCCCATTGGTCGATCAATTGATCGCTTTCCGTCTGCGCTGCTTCGCTTTACAAACCATGATTCGCAGTGGCAGCGCCCCAACCCCAAGTTGGGCGAACCAGAGGTCAGTCTGTAGGACAGACCGTGATAAAAATGGTGAAGCTGTTTTACTTGAGAACAGCTGCCCGGCTGTATTGCTGCTGAGATTAGCTTTGTTATGAAGAGCTGCTGGAAACGGAAGAAAAGCAGCAGGGTTCAATCAAATTGCACCGCCACCATCTGTGACACTGCTAGGGGCAGTAGATGTGTCGTAGCATTATGAAGCCATCCTCCGGGAATGGGCCTTCCCCGTGGCATCATGAGATACACATTTACGCTGCAAAATACTGCAGTCATCTTTCACCAAAGCTCAAATAAACAATCTGACTTGCACTGGCCATGTATGCAGTCTGTCATGTAACATCATCCTTCGGTGAAGTAAATGCAATAAATAGACAATAGCATTAGTCTAGGCGTGACCCGCGCCTGACTGGATAATGGATATACGACCAGCCAGTGACAGCGAAATGCCCATAGATGGCAGTGACACGCCGTGCTCATGCATTATTCACACATGCAGTCTGTACACAACGCGGAGCCTGCAGAATGCTCATGATGGTTTTTCCGTCCGCCGAATCGTTCGTCGGCTCCCGATCGCCTAGTCTGGCTCCTTTTTCGGCTCAATATTAGCCGCCCTGGAATCCATTCGGAAAGTAGAATGTCAGTACCGGGAAACGCTGATGTGGGTTTGCGTGGAGAACGAATTTGAATATTCCACCGCAGGACGGGTGGGCCGGCTCATCATGGGACAGCCTCGCCTGGCTAAGTTCATAGACACCTGAATAGTGTTTTAAACAGGCAGCGCTGCATTCACTCTATGAGTATTGTTATGTATCCGTGGTGCTGTCTTCTTATGGCACGATAGAATTATCGATATAATGCGGTCGCAGCATGAAGCTGTAAGCGTATTTTGCTGCTGTTTGTGCAGCCTCCAACCACCTCCGACAGTTGCACTGCCAGCCGGGATCGTACGGCCAGTCTGTCCACTGGAGAAGCGGCCTGGTTCATATGGCCAGCAGGGTGACTAATGATGTGGTGATGGGTGTAAGTGGACTCCCGCAGCCCCTACCCCATCAGCAGGGGTAAACAGACCATGGATGCGCCCGCGATACGATGGGCTGGGCCGGAGGGGGGGGGGGGGCGGGGGGCGACTGAAGCACTGCATAACGGCACGGGGGGTTGGGATATTGAAGTTGCAGCATGAGCTGACAGGGACGTCGGTAGTACTGGTCGAGCCGTTTTGTTTATTTGGTGCATCCATTTGGTGTACTTCGGGTAATTTCTCTGGACCAGGGTGAAGGAGTCGCCTATTTCTTTTTCACGAGCGGCAATTTCCGTTAGCAGTTGCACGGCAGTATCCTTGGTATCCAATGGTGGTTTTCAGCCTGAACTGGCGGTCGTAATGGGCTCATGCCTCACGTCTGGCACTGCTCAAATATTTAACGTGGTCGGCGGCGCCACTGCAGACCCAGGTCAGGTTACATGTTATGTCTATAATCAGCCGTAGCACGGTCAACCGTAGAATGTCGATGGCCCTGGTCTCGGTGGTTATATCTGGAAATATCTGGAATCGCCCAGTTTCTGTGTCGATCATATCGGTCGGGGTATGTGCGAGCACAACGCGACGGTATGATCGGGCATACGATAAGTCTAACGACCGCAGCGCTCAGGTTGAGCAGCGATTATGCGGCCGAATCCACCAAAACATATTACACCTACACATTCTTTTTTTAAGTTACCCGTACACTGTACACTGATTTATTTTACGGGATTATGGAAAAATGCTTCATTTTTTCATCCCTGTAATACATGAGCTATTTTCGGTATCCCATATTCTAACTTCGGATTAGTTCGTTCATAATTTCAACTTTCCACGTTCGTACGAACTTCTTTCAAGCACGTCTTGACCGATCTCCACTACCGGCGCCGACCAGACGTGACCTATCTGCTCCGCTGAGTTCGATCGGCTCTGGCGCTGCCTCTGGACTCTAAATGGAGCGCCCCTCCGGCTCCTCCCTCTACCCCAAACCGCTGGTACTTACATGCATCTGTTCAGACGCCTGACAGACGTCCGCCTGTGTACAGGGTGTAACGAAATTATCCGGACATCTATTTTTTCGCCATATCTGCTCGCACAGTTTCTCTTTTAATGTCAGAAGCTGGAAAATTGGATGAATGCATACCTCTGGTATCTGCTCTCAACTCAGCAGTGACCTGACCTTGCGAAATGACTCTTGCTCTGAGTAAGAGTCGAGTCGCCGACGGGTTCATTTGATAGTTTTCGTTTAAGGCAGTGGAGAGAAAGGGGTACAGTCTCTCGTTTCGTAGTAAGGCTACGTGTTGGTGGCATGAGCCAGAAGCTGGTCTGTCAGCAGCTGGACATCAGCAGCAGCCAGTAGCACATCTGCCTGAGGCGTAATAAGCTGGGACTTGGTGGCAGACTCAGCCCGGCCTCGATCGCAAAAGGCGCCCTTTGCCAAGTGGTGAGGAGAGGTGTCAAGATAGCGACAAGGAAACGCCACCAATTAATCCGCATACTGACTTGAATTCTTACCGAGGCAGATAATAAGAGGTCCCACATCATGATTCACCGTTACCAGCCCTTTAGCTTGGTTTTACTGCCCTTCAAACTGGAAAAGACAATGAAATTGACGGGAAAACAACCAGTCCACCACCTTTGGCTTCAGGCCAGGGCGTGTCCACTGGTCGAAGGAAGACACGAATGAGGTGACCTGGTCGGATGGGAAGCTGTTCGAGCTGCGATACCCGTTGAACCGTCAATTCGGCCATGTGTGGGCTGCCAGCAGCTCGAATGTGCCGGCCGTCGCCGGCGTCAAACGTCCGGCCAAAATTAAGACCTGGAGCATGTTCAGCTGCTGTGTAATATTCAAGCTGTTCATGACGACACAGAAAACCACTATCAGTGACGAGTATTACCGGCGCAACATCCTGGCTAGCGATTGGTTGGAGCCACTCAACCACACGGCACAGGATGACTCGGTTTCTGTGCGTGTACCGATGCCTGATTCAAGCCGCGCAGTCTTCATACGGGGCGGCGCACCACCTTCAAGTCCCTAGCAGAATGAGAAGTGATGCCGAGAGGACCTTTTTGTTCTTCTGGGCTAAAGGGCTATGGCTTGGAAATAGTTCCCATGAAATTCCATCGATATATTATGGACTATTGTCCATCAGGAGATGAATGAGGGGACACCCGCCACCAGCGCCGCCCAACTGCGGGCACAGGTTAGTAAGGCGCTACTCTATATGAAACCCACTGTGCTGGAAAATCCAGTGGCTGGAATGCTCCAAAAATGTGTACCTGCGCTCTTATGAAAGGTGGCTATATAATAATTCAAAAGGGAAAATATCAGAATGTCTTGCTTCTTAATTACAGCGCGAAGAAAGATGTCCGGATAATTTCGTTACACCCTGTATATGTCTGGCGGTTATCGGCGGAACCAAACCGTCGCGGCTGTGTCCGAGTCCGGGTGATTCAGAATCAGACCACTGCCATCCAGTGGCGGGTATCTTCATAACTCCATCCCTCAGAGTTCTGACGAAGCCCACGATCGTTCTGATGTTAGTGGTTGGGGTGTATGTGACGTTGGAATGGTTATTTTGTCATTGAAGCGGAGGAAAACTGCAGAGAGGTGGTAGAGTTGAAGAGAGGGGCGTGGATGAATCAGGGAGAGGGTTGGATGACGAAGGAGTCGGAAAGGGGGATGATGAAATCTCGGAGTGACATTGACGCCATCTGGCTGTCTGAATTAGTAGGCGCGTTCTGCTGTCCAGTCATCACTATCTGTGACGATGACGTCACTGTCACTGTCACAGTGTCACCGTCGTCCGTCTCCGTGCCGACCTCATCCATCCATCAGTGTCGTACGCGGCGCCCTGACGAGCTGCCGGGCTCCATTAGCTGGCCGTCGCCGCCGCTGAAACGGTTCGGCGCACGAGTTTATCAGGATGATGACTGCGGCCACGGCAGCTTTGATGATGTAGCGGTGTTGTTTTAATGCGTATAAGGGTAGCGCTTCGACTCAATTAATGATCAGTGAAACGAGGCTCGCTATGAAACTGAGTGTCTACTTAGCTTTTTGTGTGTCATCTTTGTGTACAGTTTGTTTGAGCTGTTTTGTTTATTGGTACAGCACTGCTTGCTGTTCAATTATTCATGTATGCAATGGACCACATATAGCTAGCACACATATTTGTCTGTATTGACATCCAGCAGGCGGGATTTCTCGACATTATCATGCATCATGACTGCATTGATTGGCACGGACGGCTATTTCTGAACCTCACCCGGCGCCATGCGATAGGCGACAGTCTTGTCTCTGCGCTCCGTCTTTTAATAGTTCGTCGCGGCGTAGCGCGGACGGCGTATGATCTGACGATCGGGGACGTCCATTTGTGGCTGAATGCGGCGCACCAGCTCTGCTTGTAGCTTAGTAGGTGATGCAGCTCCGTTTGTGGCTTACAGACCGGGGATGCAGCTCTGTGTTTACTGTTTAGTGATTCCATTCCGCGGTCAACTGGGGCTGTGGTAAGCTCTGCTGTGATGAGGTTATGAGATCCTAACATATGCCTGTGAACTAGAGGCGTCTGTCGGTACTCGGACCGAGCGACTGTCAAGTGTCAGGTCGGGCAGCGTTCCTGAGGGATTATCAGGTAGGCCGGATTGA